TCGTTTCGCCACTCGCCGCCTGAACATTTGGCTACCACAGCCACTACGCGACAACAATTTTCTGCGCTCCGCTGTCATAGAGCTGAAAATGGACAATGAATTTTAGGACGCATCATTGGTTGATTTTTCTCTGTTATTAACCAATGTCAGTGAAGGCAAAAAGTCGCTGATATTTCAGCGGCTTATGAAAAAGCCAAAAACCGCTGACACAAAAGTCGCTCCCAACACGCCCTTAGAGCATCTCCAACGCGGGTCCCTATCCCAACTCTATATCTCAAAACTTTGGTTGTACCGTTACTTTATGTTACAGTACGGATAATTTGGGGCTTATCCGGGCGATTTTGTCCCCAAATTATGGGGATGTCCCCAAAGTGTTCAGTTAATGTAATGGGGACAAGAACACCCGGATACAGCCCCAAATTATCCGTAATTTCGATGGTACCACTGTTGTAACAGGTTTTGGGGATAGGGACATCGATATAGGGACTCCCGTTGGAGATGCTCTTACTACTGGTACACCATTTTGCGGTTAATTTCGAAAGATATCTGGTATATTTCGTGGAATCCCATTTACATTCGTGGAGCTTCATTATAAAGTATTTCGTGACTTCGGCAATTAATTTCGTGGGAACGTCGAATTCACTCATTATATTTCGTGGACTGCCAGTATGTTTCGTGATTTGCTCAGTTAGATTCGCAAACATCCAATATCATGAATCCCAACCTTCCCCTCATCCTCTCATATGGAGATGAACCTCCATCACCTCGAACCCCAGTAAGCAGCACACACATACTTACCTACGGTAGTAACTGACGAATGTCAGCCACGCCGACGAGGCACGTACAGAAACGTCCCGATGTCAGCAAAGCAATACCGGTAGTCGCTTTGCTTGCATTGGGTGACCAAGTCATTCAAGGTATACTTCTGATACCACATACAGTAGTATATGAGTAGAGGTGATTGTCGTAGGAGTTGATGCGAACCATTTGTATCAATACGCTCCCCACCTCGACCACAGAGCCGAAAACATGGACGACGAATTCGTTGGAGCCGAAGTTACAGTCGTCACTCCTGCATATTTTCACCCATTGCGCTGACATTTATGCGAAATTTATTGGCCACGTCACGAAATATAGTCCATGTTTGCGAATTTACTGTTAACTGAGCAAATCACGAAATATACTGCCAGTCCACGAAATGTAAGGGCATCCCCACCGGTAAGACTGTATAATCAGACTGTAAATTCTTGGAGCATAAACACTATGAATGAATTCCGCCACTACAATGGCCGGCGGTGGCAAGTGTACATGTAGTACCGCCGAGTCCCTGCCTTTGGCAATTCTATCGTCGAGCAAATCCGCTCTGAATAAACAACAACAGGGTAAGGGGGGGGTCGGTTGGTGTAATGGGGGGGTGAATAATGCTGAACCTACCAATGGGTGTGATTGTATCGACCGTCCACTCGAAGGTCTCTCGAGTGAGATACATCAATCGTGTGTCGGGGGGGCCGTGGGAAACCACTACGAGTGTTCCATTCACTTTGAGCACGCGATGCAGTTCATGCAAAAGAGCAAGAACGTCTTCGACGTTGTTGGGGCTGCACAGGAGCGTATCCAGTAGTCCTAGATTGAATCATTGTGTTTTGGTCTTCATATGACGATGACAATCAAACTGACCAAGCTAGGCGTACATACCTTTGTCAAGGATCACGTCGAAGCAATGGTTGGGGACATCAGGCATTTGGGTAGAATCCAAGGCTACGCCTACATGATTCAATCGAGTTTACGACATGAGTGGATTCATAACAAGTGGAAGCGTTCATGCTGCATGCACAATGTTCCATAATGACAGGCGAATCTTACACTGCATGTGCGTCGCCTGCCGTTGGTGTTGCACTGTCGACATGCGGTGGACTGCCACCGTTGAAATGTCAGCGTTCGTGATGTTCTCGTACCCGACGTCGTACAGTTGGAACGCCAACTCTAAACGCACCGTCAATGGTTCAAAATGCTCCAATGTGGTCAAGAAAGGGTACCAGACAGGCCACATCCTACAATCCATCCCAAAGATGGAAAGGTTAGGAGAATATCATCGAGGGGTTGTGTGTCGCTCACAACCATGTTAGGAATGAAACAAGGTATTGTACCTGGAATGAAGATCTCGCAGCTCGAGTCATATCGATCCAACACGTCTTGAAGCAACATTTGCAACTGAAAAGAAGGTGGTTGCTGAATGCAATTCCACGCACATATGGAGAGGACACCAACCTCGTCGTAGCCGAGATACCAGTCAAAGTGCACACATGTCGTAGCAGCATTGTACTTGGCATTCCATTCCTCAGCCGTGGTAGGGATATTGCTGGAGGCTACGACGTCCATGTTTTCAAGGGTAGCAGTATCACAATGCAGTTACCGATATAACTGCATTATGAAACTGTGTCAGTTACTGTGTAACTGATCCATGCGGACGATGTGTGGATTAACGACCCATCATGATAAAGTACATACATTTAAAAAATATGCGAAACAATTCACTCTCCTAGTTTGCAACGCGTTGTCCACCACGACCTGCCATTTCGTGGTGCGAAGCAAGAGCATGTAAATGAGCGTGGTGGTGACAGTTCCGAAGGATATACCGGTCCACACGCCTTCAATGTCATGCTGTAGTGTGAACCGCCCAAGTACGCCAAGCGTAGCCCGACCACGTAGTGCACAATGGCATTCACGGCTACGTATGATGGTCGACAAGGGGGACATTGTTGAGGCTGGCCAATTCTATATACTCAGCGACGTGATGTACAATACCTGCACCAAAGTGCTGTCGGCCGACACCCGGTTAATCCGGCAAAGAATTGCATGGGTGTACCATGTACAAATCGCCTCCGCAGCGTGTGTAGCATAGGATATTTGCACGTAGCGTCACTCATAGACGGCTCCAAGCCTTATTTGTCGTGCAAAATTTCCACGTCGAAATGCCCAACGACGCTGTGGCCGCGTATGTGAGTGAGGATCGAAACGAACTTGGCTTGTTGGGGGTGGTTGGTGCTGAGGCAGTTGCCGATGTGATTGTTTGCCGCCACCGCCACCCCCAAGGAACGCCATGAAGTTTGTCGTCAAGTTGCTAACGTAATGCAATACCTACTCCATACAATAGCATCATCCTCATCATCACCTACCGGTAGACGCGTGATAACAACGGATTGTATCATATGGTGTTGATGCTGCATGCTTCATTGCCGTCGGGGAGGAGGCCAGTCCAGAAGGCTAGGATACTGAACGCCGACCACTCCAGCACGAACATGTCAGGTAGCCCTAAAACGAGGAACCCTCGGGCGATATCCACGGCCACCCACCACTGCCGCGTTAGGTCTAAGTTGCACCACATCTATGGCTTGGTTGCAGCTGGCACGGTGGCATTGCCCAGCACTCGACCGTACGCAGCCCCGAGGGACCCCAAGGACGCGTGACAGGATACGGTAGCCGCAGATCATGTTCACCAACAGCCCAATACCAAGGCAATCACAGTCATGGGCAGCACCACATTTTGCACTTGGAGTAGTTTTTTTACTAGCTCGTACATGAATAGAAACGAATGCCTAACAACATGGTCATGCGGGTGAACGATGAGGCTAACGCTATGACGTGAACATCTTGGTTGAGCCACAAAAGCAGAGATTCGCAGTAGAAGTTTGCGATTAGAACTGACACGAGCGCCGCTCCCATGATGAGGAATCCATTTTGGAGGTAGATTCCTAGCTTGTCAACTCGTCCTGCAAATGAAATGGGACGGTATCGTGAACCAGAAAGTTAGTGTAACAAATTGAGTTCACCAGCGCCAAACGCTTGTGCATAGTTGTGACCAGTCCAAATCCAATGTACAAGGCAGTGATGTTGGTGATCTACTGGGATAGTTGGCGTACTTTCCCAGACAGAAGCGCCACGCCATTCAAAACGTTGATGTCCGGGGGGTGTAGATGTCTACAAGCGACGAGCACACTGTGCCTGGAAGAAACTCCAATATGTACGCAATGTTCAATATCACATGTTAGAAGCATACACACGCGACAGGGTTTCTTAATCTACAGGCCGCTGGACACACCAGTCGGACCAAGCGATCAAGTTCGGATCGCCAGTGCATTGTTACAAGGTCTGCGCTATCTTTGCAGTCGTCGTAGCCACGGCCACTGTCCTTGTAGTCGTTCTTGATCTCTACATCGAACAAAGGATGATTGTCGTCTTGTACTGACATGGTGTTTGGCTGTAGCTGGGGTATTGAAGTCCAAAGCCAAAATGCCTTCATGTTACCGAAAATATTCCGTAATACTCCTAGGCTCATTCTTTGCTACCGGTAGTACAAGGATGCTTGAGCTCACAGTATACGCACGACTATATCTCCTTTAGGACAATTACACGCATGAAATCATCTCACTGTCAACATGGCAATACGTAATACTAGGTACTACTATTAATAATACTGGTAACGTACTTACTGTTAAAAGTAGATAGCCAGTTTATGGTGCACGGGACAGTTTAAGGTGCACTCAAATTGGCCAATAGAATTGCTGAATCAGGAACAGCCAATCAAATCACTAGAAAAATTAAATCACAGAGAATTAACAGTAAGCAAAGACTTTAAGCTTATACCGTGCACCATAAACCGTTCTTCCTATATATTTTGCCTTCATTGACTTACTGTTAACACTGTGAGTGGAAATCGAAGTAAAATGAACGCTAAACTGAAGTCTATTCAAGCCGATTAAATAATACAGAAGAATTCAGTACATGTCTATTTATAGATATATTTCTCTGAGGTGAACTTACTGGAAGTATTAATCGTAATTATGTCGACCAATTGGGCGACGACGATTGGCCAACCACTTCACAAATCAGCCAATGATGTCCTGCCAGCGAACTTAAGCGAGTCACATTGACTTCGGACCAAGTGCCAGTGGACAAGGCATTTGACAATTTTAACGAAGGATCATCCATACAGAAAAGTAAAGGAAACCACTTGAGGATGGAACTGTCCTAACTTACAGTCAAAACAACCATACCAGACCACGGAAAATCTGTCGAAGCCCCAGGAGTGGATTTGATTACGAGAGCGTGTCGTACTTATACGAGCATAGTGTATTGAATACTTCGAACTACTATATTTTGAATATTAAAGCTTATTTTTCAATATATTCTATACAGTATTCAATTGTTACAAATAAGCCATTTAATCCTGCATATAAAGTGACTATTTAATTGCTTACATGTATCCAAGGTCGCTGCCAACAGAGGTGCCATCAACATTCGAAGAACCACGACGACGACGGCGGTCGCCCTATGAGTGACGACGACATCCTTGAGCGCCTCCTCTTTGGTGGAGGTGATGACTTTATGACATCTCTCACCGATAGCTTTCCGTTTGGAGCATCCCAAGCAACAACAGCACCTTCAACAGACGCGACGACGGTGCCTGATGGCTCCAGTACAGTTTCGGATGAATCGGACGCGCCGAAGCGAAAGCGGCAACGCACGAGTCTCAAGCACGAGCTAGAGTACTTACGGGAGAAGCAGGATGTCCTGCAGGCCCAATTGAACGAGCTGCGCGCTACCACGATCGTCCGACCGCCCAGTTCCATCTGGGAGACTCGAGCCAAGGTTCAGATGGCGGCCGCTACCCGCGCCATGCATGAGAACGCGTCGCTTCGTACAATTTTGCAGGAGCAGCTAAAAACCGCTCAAACGCTGGAGCGAGTGCTGAAAAAGTCTCCCAAGCTAGAGGTTCGCCACGAGTGCATCCCTATCATGTGAACCAACCACGCCTATCTTTCCTGCATGTAGCTGTCTCCCCAGTTCAACCGCGACGAGTGGCGCAGCTGGCGGCTCGGCGCTGACCCCGCCACGCGCGTCCACAGCATGCTCGCTATCACTGACCACCTGTACGAACGTCTTGAATGCGAGCTGATCAAGAACAACGTGTACGACCTCCAAGACGGCCAAAGCAGCATGAACGTCCGAACGCATCAGAACGTGCTCTGGTTCGACTTTATGCAATCCTCGCTCATGCACGCCGACTTGGACGCCATGCGACGGGCTACGTGGGCACTGATCCGGCAGCAAATCCAAGTCCCCGGCGGCCCCGTCCTCACGACCACCGGCTCGGTGCGGACATCGATGTGTAGTCACGTTTTTGATGTGTTTAGGGGATGGCTAGATAAGATGACTAGGCGTTTGGCTGCCTTCAAGTCGACTTGTATCCCTATATTTGGACATTTGTGCTGAATCGCCAGATCTATCGATCGATTCTTTGTACTGAATTTTGTAAAGAGATGTGGTGATTGGTATCACACTAATTGAAGTCACACACTAATTTGACGTTGATGATGGTTTCCTGCAACCTGATTGGCTCAATCCTTCTGCTGATTCTTGTGTACATTTATATGGTTGAGGCGATTCATTTCGAATAAAATGGAAAATAGATTATAAGAAAGTATATAAAAATATTTATAAATATCTGAAAAATGTTAAAAACACAACGACGATACAGTATTGTGGATTCGGTACAAATTTCCAGACCCCGTCGAATCGAATCTCGCCACGGAATCGAATCACGAATCGACGCTATTGGCTAATCCAATTTGGAGTGGATTTGATTGGCTGAAAAGGACAAGTATATTCAACCAATCAGAACTCCAGCGTGGTTCAATATTGATTAGACGAACCACGCGAATTTTGGAAATTTATCGCAAATTCACAATATTGCGTAAAATATAATATTTCGTACGAATCTTGGTGTTTCTGTGAATGTTATTATGGTTAACTAGCATTGCTACTGTATATCCCCTTCGAAGAAAGCGTAATATATGTGTTGTGTGTATTGTGATCTATTCATAGCTGCGTCCCTTGACATCTACTGCTGGTTGATGAAAGAATGGCATGTTGTGTCCATATCGCAGAAGTATCGAGGCCATGACATCATCTTGACTGTGTATTTGTGTATATATATGTCTTTTAGATCCTCGAAGACTTGCCAGACCACAACATTGTGTACACACACAACGAATCAACGGTCAAGCTCCAAGGGGGGACCCTATGCAAATCGGAAGGCCGGTGGATTGCGCGCATGTACTCCGAGCCCAACCGCGCCGTGGTGGTTTACCGCTCTATCCTCGACGACGCGCTGGAACCTCACACCCCCGGACGGCTGCGGGACAACCTTATGGGCTGGTAATGCTTGCTTCTCTATGTGGATACTAGTTAGTACTCAGTTAAGACAACTGTATGAGCTAGTATTGCTTCTTTCTCTATGGGGGTGGTAGTAACTTCGTCCTTAGGGTGGTGCTCCAGCGGTGCGAGATAGACCCGAGCAAGACGCGGCACATGGTGGTGCATCAATGCACCCCCGCCGTCATGTCGGAAGGGGGGGAGAGCTCCCCTCCGACGGGGGAGATGACGGAATTCCTCCTGAATATGCTCCGTAGCCACATGGACCGCATCAAGCAAGCCGTGATCCAGCATGACCCCACTTCGTCGTCAATACAGGCCAACCATGACGTAAAACTAGAACAGAATTAACCAAACTATTGTCGATACAAATTTGGGGAGCCGGTGCAATCGAATCGCGCCGACCAAACCGATCCTCAATCGATCTGATTGGTTGAGTTTCATTGAGAAGGTTTTGATTGGCTAATAAATTTGAGCCCTTCTGAAGTAGCCAATTAAATCGATTTCAATTCCAACGAGAAACCACGCCACAACACGAAATTTCACTCGAAAGCACAATATGTATACACATCGTTATTCCTGATGTTTTCAGTTCATGCACGTTCAAGTACAAGCGGGTTCGGTAACCAGCGTCGTCGTCCTACGGATGTTTGAGTCATGACGAGAGTAAGATTGAACTTTGAAATGAATACCTTGTAAACGGCGACGAGAATGTAGTGGAAAAGAGATCGTCATATTGATACTCATCGAAGTTCAACTTGCTCGATATGGCGGCGACGACGGTTGCACTTTTGGGGGTCGGCTAGATGCTGTTAGCGGCCAACCTCTCATCCATCTTGTCGCACACGGATGAGATATACTGATGCCCAATTGTACGTCAATAAGTTAGTTTTGCGATGGTACGAGGTTGCCTCGAGACGTCGCGTTGAGGGGCCGCAAGAAGTCCATGCATGTGGTCAATCCACCCATGCACAAAGTCCCCTCGACCATTTAGCCAGTCGATATCAGCGTTCAAGCGGCGGATCTAGTCATGCAGCGCAGTGTCGCAGTGACGTCGTGGTCATCTCGGGAAACCAGTTGACTTCGCGACAACTCCAACCCCGTGTTCCCCCAACACACACACAACAAGTCTCTTGGATATTCTTTCGTTTGAAACGTAGATATTGAATTAATTGTTGCTTTTGTGGGCCGAGGAGTGAAATCGTCGAAGGAGGGTGGCTAGAGGAGGCAGTGGCGGTGGTCGCGACGGGCCCTTGGCTTCAACGTCGTCCTGACCCCCTTGGTTGTCAAAGGTACTGAAGTCCTTGTCAAGTGGTGGTGCTTTTTGTGTTTGGTGGGTTTGGGGTAGTGTTTTCTGCTGTCTGTTGGCTTGCAGTCGATTCCGAAACACGAGTTGCAGCTCTGTCTTGAGCGTTCTGCCGCCGCCTAGATCAGTCTTGACATTATTCTGCGGGGGAGGGGGAGGGCCAGACGGGGGTGGCTCGGACGCTGTGGCAGCAGCACGCATGGCTTGCATGTCGTACGGGGCAAATCGACAGTCCGTTCGTCGCTTTTTGGCGTCGAATTTGCGCTGCTGGTGGTTATGCTTGGCTCGATGGAACGCGCATAAGGTATGGGGGGTACCATTCTTTTTCACCGCACGTTCTGCCGTGCAGTTGCTGCTGGGGTACAAGCACATGCCCCGAAAGTGTTGAGTCTTGGTCGAAGATGTTACAATAGTGCTGCTCCGTGTCGCTGTACTGTGGTCTTCGAGTCGTTGGTTTGATGTCATGAAAAATTACCGTGAATTGCCACGTCAAGTAAGCTACAACAGTCGACAAGTTGCTTAGCCCCCAATGAAGGCAATGACCAGTGTTATCCATGGCGGTTGTTGTTCGGTTGATCTGGTCCAGACACCACAAACATGGCGGGTCGGTCCATGCTGTGGCCCTGTTCGCATCGTGAATAGCAGTTTCAGACCGTTTCATAAACCCTAGCCGTTACAAATAGCGTTTCATAATAGTATTGCGTTTGGACGTGAAAGTCCATCGCTGACTTCAATCCTATTCGGCACTATCCCGATGGCCAAAGTGACACCCGCAGACGGACTGGACGGTAAGTCGGTCTTGCTCTGTGAAACGAAAATGCCCATTAAACTTGCAAAATGAGTCTAGCCGTGGTCGACACCAGATCGTCTATGGTGCAAAAGGCCAAACTACGCGCGCGACTTGAGCGGCTCGGCGCAGGCAAGTCGTACTTTGGCGTTACGTTGGGCGACATTGGCGACTTGGGGGTCGGCATTCGGCTCTACTTTATGCTGACCAAGTACACGTCCATGTTGTTCGTGGTCATGTCCGTCTGCGCGGCGCCCACGGCAGGTGATGACAATCGTCGCCCCCTCTTGTGTTTCCATGAAGCCTTATGCGAATGTGATGGACGGGTAGTGTTGCATTACTACGGCCACGGCGTGACCGCCGCCACCAAAGACCCACTTGGCCTCAATTTCGTGTCCTTGGCCAACGAAGGCATCAACGCCGAGTACATCCCGACCAACTGCACGTACATGGGGGGCACCATGGATTGCTCGCTTCGTACGCTCGACACGCCGTTCACCACATCTCCCAAGATAGTGTAAGCCCCCTTAGTCTCCAACATCCCTACACTTCCCCTACATTTCCTGGGCTTCGTTTTGACGTGCGCCCCCTTCGTGTACTCCACTCGCTCCAATCATGCCTTGTGTTTGCTAGGGCGTATGTTGCCACGATCTGCGACTGCGTGTATTCGCTCGTGTTTGTCGTGTTCATCGTGGCCTTCTCATACCGGTGTCATGCCATCGTGACCGCCCATACGAGGGACAACATCACCCCCGCCAAATACGCCGTCTACGTCCGCGGCTTTCCCCGCGACGCCACAGAACAAGAGATCATGACGCATTTCAGCACGCTCTACGATCTGTCCCAGCCGGCGCATCGCTTTCCCATGTGGCTGGGGTGCTTTGGTCGTCGTCGCCGCCAAGTCAAACAACAGCTTCGTGTCGCCCGTCCAGGCTCTACCACAAACTGTAGTCCTGGACACGACGAGAATGGGGCAAAGTTACCGCAGCCGGTTGAAAACGTTTCCCATGTGGACGGGAACGAGCTGTACGTGGGTTCGTGGGTCGCCCAAGTGAGCATCGCCCGCCCGATCGGTCGGTTCTTGCGGCTGTTTCTGGCGCTGGAGACGCTCACGCAGCGCATCGCCATGTTGGAAGCGACAATGGTAGAGTATCGGAAACAAGAGCGCCGGTTTCGCAAGCGGCTCCGACGCGCTGAGACGGAATTCGCGACCCTGGAAACCCAGCTCGAGGCCAAAACAAACAAGATGACTGCCCTCCGCACCCAAGGCAATCAACGGTATGTCGGACGACTTGAACCGCAATACAACAACGAGGTTCCCAACTAAGTACTCGAATTTTGACTTTAACGGACTAGGTTGAGTGAGTGCGAGTGCGCGTTTATCGTGTTTAACCATGTGGAGAGCCAGCGACGATGCTTGGCCGATTACCGCACAAGCACGACGTGGTGGAAGCGGTACTTTCAGCCCAAGGACCTCCGCTTTCGACGAATCCACCCCCTCAAAGTCACCGCCGCGCCCGAGCCATCCAATATTATTTGGGAAAACTTGGAAACTCCCCCTGTGGAGCGGTTTGCCAGGTACATCCCCCACCAATTATTTATGAAAAAAAACTATAAAAAATTACTCATTGCCATGTGTAGACGCTCCTTTACGAATTTTGTCACGTTTTTGCTCTTGGTCGTGTCGTGCGCGATCATTTCGTTGGCCCAGGGGTAGGTAGTTTTTTTTGCCTGACCATCTTCATGATACACATTGCCAAAGCTAACTACCTACCTAGCTTAAGTCATTGTGAGATATGTTATACTAAGTCGGGAATACTGTCTTAGCGCTCAGCAAGCGTTCAACAAGCCCGGACCAAGTAGCATTTGCAGCAAGATCTTGGAGGTCTACCAAGGCCCCGACTTCAACACGTCGACGGACAACAGTGCCACCAGCCCCTCCAACAGCACCGATGATTGGACCCTTCAATGGAACGCGTCGTCCCGTTGCCCCGACGACGCGTCATTTGACATAACGTTCTTGAACCACTCCGCAACTCCGTTCCCCCCAAGTGTCCTCCCTTTCAACGACATTGGGGGGGGCTCCTTCAACCTCACTAGGTGCACGTCGACTTGCTTTACCCCGGGTTTAACGACGTGTGGCACGCTGCCTTGCTTCACCACGGACGTCAACTACACGTCATCCAAGGCCGTGGGGGACGACTCGTGTGAGGCGTACGACGCAAGCAGCATCCTGCTCTGCTACTGCAAACCAAAACTCGAAGCATATGTCAAAGCGGACGGACTGTACAACGGTCCCTGGAAGCTTTGGGACGTGGAGCTTCCGTGCCGGGCGTACATTACGGCGTTCCTGACCAAGAACGGGCTCTTAATCGCTGCCGCGATCACGGTGATCTTAGTGAATACGGTGTTGCGGGGCGTTTTCTACGCGTTCGGAACGTTCGAGCGGCACTCATCCGAGTCCAACAAGGCCGCGGCGGTCGTGCTCAAGCTGTTCTTTGCGCAATGGATCAACACAGCTGTGATCGTGCTGTTGGTGAACGCCAACTTGGGCAACGTCCCCGTGATCCAGTTCCTTTTAGCTGGTACGATGGAGCTTACTTCGCCTATTCTTGACCTTGGATTGTAAACTTGTCTTGGCAAACTAAAAATTGAGCGGGTTTGCTTTGGGTACAACTGTACTGTACGTGTTGCTCAAGTGTGAAGTGGTTCCGCTGGGGGGGGTCTATATGGCACTGGCTAGGACCAATAAACTCGTGTGTATGTTGGTGTGCTTGTTGATGTCCAGATGCTTTCGTGTGCGATTATCAATCCAATGCAAGTCTGTACATCAGGGTTCCTTGCCATTGCACGTGACGGTGTGGACCGCCCGTGTAAAATGATACCCGCTCTAGTATGTTTGCATTGCCCCTCAACCAATCTAGTGTGTACACTGCATCCCTCCCTCGTGAAAACGATCCCACGACCGTATGAGTAGGCAAACTCACCGATATGGAGCGGGGGTGGTACACATCTGTGGGGGCGGGCATCACCCTCACGATGCTCGTCAACGTCGTGACCCCGCACTTGGGACCTCTTCTCGCCGCCTATGTGATCTTCCCTGTGAAGCGGACGTTCAAACAGTTCACGACCGTCACAACCCCTCAAATGACTGCGTTGTTTGCCAACCCAGACTTTGACATTTCCGTGCGGTACCCCGTAGTGCTCAACACGATCTTCGTCACGTTCATGTACGCGGGGGGGATGCCGGCGCTCCTCCCCTTGGGGGCGGTCTCATGCTACCTCAACTACGCCATTGACAAACTCATGCTCATGAAGTTATACCGCGTGCGCACGGCCTACGACCAGGCGCTGGGCACGCTGGCGCTGCAGCTGTTTCCTTGGATGTTGCTCGTGCATCTCGGGTTTTCCGCATGGGCGTACGGGGTATCGTCGCTTCTGCAGTCGGATTTGCTGAGTGTGTCAGCATTGGCCAAGCAGGCGACGTCGGCGCTCGCGTCGGTGCAGTCGTCGTTGTCGAGTCAGGATAGCGGCTCTTCTGCAGTCAATAGCACAACCACGGGCGACAGCTTGGAGGGGGGGGACGACCCCACGGAGCTGTTGCAGTCTTTCCTGCAAGACCAGCTCACAGAGGTTGCAGACCCGACGCTCGCCGATTTGCTCAGCGGGGTACTCAAAGCCTACGCCAAGATTGTGCGACTGAACACGTTCCCGCTCTTCTTTTTCTTCGTGCTCGTGCTACTTTATTTATTGCTGCATCGCGTGTTGACGCCGCTGTTCCATGTCACCGTTGGAATCGTGTTCAAGTGTGTGGGCATGCTGGTGCGAACACTTGGGTGCCGGTCGGGGCGTCGTGTGGCGACTACAAGGGGGTTACGGGTAGGGAGTGGAGGTGGCATGATGTTCCCCGGGTTCACAGCGTTGTTTGAGCGACCACTGACCACAGACGAGATGGGCGACGACACCAAAACACCGGTGACGAAGAAACCAGTGGACGTGGCGAGGGGGTTTGAAATCGATGCCGACCGCCGCGTGTTGATCTGCCGGGGTGTCGACGGCCACCACTTGCGGTCGTGGGAAGCCACCGCCGCCCAAGTGAAAACATACGCAATTGAGAAAAATCCCAAGTACACGGTACGTTCAAATGACATTGAACCGTGTGGTTCCGAGCCAAAGTTGACTTGGCTGGTGGTCTAGAAATAAGTATATACATAGACTACAGAAGTGATATATCACTCTAAGTACTACTAGTATCAATGAGTAATGGGAAGTGGTGAGAGTAGACGGCTGTGGCCAAGTTGCTGGAAGCGAACCTTCGGTTGCACACGGCGGACGCGGCGGCGGCGGCTCAGACGCCGCTGACTGAAGACGACATGCGGCCCCCGTCGTCCGTTGCCCATTAACACTTGTGTCGATAAATATATATATTGTAGGAAATGCCACGTGAACCATTAGTTGTAGCTGCCAAGGACTTCCGATGTGTATTGTTGTAGTACTACACTAGTACATCAGCCTGCAACACCAAAATGCATGTGGTTTCGTGAGAGTATCGATGTTTTCGGAGTAAACTTATGAAAAGGAACGTTGAATATATCTTGAAAAAAACTCTTCTACTTCGCGATTGGCAGTGGACTGATAAGATGCAGCCACCTTGGTAATCTGTGGCGCATTTGGTTGTCAATTCAAACTCGAAAACCTTTTTTAAAAGGTTTGGTGGGAAAATTATTCTATCTAAAAGAGTAATAATTTTCCCACCATAAACGTTTACAGTGCGTCTGGTAACCGGAAATATTGCAATATTCAGCCCCAAAACCCCATGATGGGGTCTAATTCAACAAATCTGATCAATATTGAAACATGTCTTGTTCGACGAGTTTTAACCCAAATCCAATAATTCCAAGTGGGATTTACTCGTTGAAGTGGTTCAAAACGCCATATTACAAAATAGACCTTTTACCTCCATTTTGAAAATGGCATTTTGGTTAATCCTATTTTACGAGAAAATGGAATATTATTTTTGAAATGTTATGGTGCACGTCATCTATAAACTACCAACTTTTCACAAAAATTTCTGACTTCTATTTCATATTCATTACTCAAAATTTCAGCAAATTGAGACGTAGAATCGACAGATCTTAATGTGGTGAAGAAATTCTACGTCTCAGATTCAAATTTGGTAATGAATTGGTCCAGAAATAGATATTTAACCTAGCGGTATTTTACATGGGCGCTTGGATATTTGGCCATAGGGGTGGCCGCTGAGATGTATCTTGCTTTTTATATGTGACTCTTATCCGTATATAATATCCGGAGGTAGTTGGGACCTTTAACCTCCCATTGCAGTGATAAAACGCATGAAATCGGAATTTAACGTATTTAGGTTTTGGGTTTAACTACATTAATTGTACGTTAAATAATAAAACCTCCACTCTTCGATTTGGCCAGTTGGATGTTTTTAGATGACGTGCACCATACCAGACGCACCCTTAACATCGTGTACTTGGAAGGTTACAAGATTATTGGCATGAGAGGTTGTGTTTTGTCCAATAATACAGCTAGAACGATTTAATTGGATGAAATAAATCGGCACATCACTCGATCACTGGTTCACCAGCAAATTCGACGAGAATGCTCAGATTATGCTCTTTCACCTCCACTAATTTATCGAGCAATCCGGACGATTATCCGTATTTATTCAAATTCCCCATAGTACTGTATTGGACTTTACAGTTAACTGAAAGAACCGAAGCGTTTACAGTAGTCGACAGCGTGGAGGGGGTCAGGCAAAAATATATCAAATGTTAGAGAGTTTTTATGAGAAG